TAAACTAAACAGGAGCTCACTGCAAAAAAATAATTGGCTGCACTGTCCTTGTTAGCAAATATCTTTAATTTCTGGTTCCAGATGGGGAACACACTCCCTGAGAAGATGAGAGCGATCACATCTTGGTTACTTCCCAAGATCCATCCTCTTGCATGATGCATCCTTTAAAACCGGGGTAACAAGAAATCATTGCACAGTGTCTATCAAACACACACGGCCCCCAGCTGAACCAYCAGTTAGGAAGGGGAAAAGCACAASTCTTTAGAACCAGCCTGGACCAGCCAAAGCACAAGCCTCCATGAACCAGCCTGGACCAGCCAGGGCCACTCTACTGAACTGAGAGGAACTCAGATACAGACAAGTTGCCCTGCTGACAGCCTCAGCCTAACAAACACCCCATGGTCAACACACCTTCCAGGAAGGGCACAGGGAAAATGACCTACCTAGCAACATTTAGTGGGTCAAAAATGCGTTTAGCAGAGGTTGGACAAAGATGATTGGGTAAATAGTCAAGTAATACATATAGGCTATTTTAAACACATTCGTAAATTATATATATTTATATACATATGTCAGAATGTTATTGCCTTAATGCAACTTCACATGCAAAACATAAGAGAACGGGTAGAAACAGAACATGGTTCTTCTTCACTGAAGAAGTGTGGGAATATAAAGCAAATGAAATTACATGAGCAGTTAGAAAATAAAATTTAACTACTAGAAATACTGTATTGATATTCACAAAATATTCTGTTAATAGAACAGTCCTCAATGTGGGGGGCCTTAAACTAGAGTTTGTTCAGTTAAAATTAACTGCTGGATTTGTAAGGAAATAGGTTCCTGGCRTTTTTTTTCCTCGAAGGAATCACCACTGAATTTGGCTTTGCCAGCTGCAGTTCATGACAGCTATACCATATTTCTACCATGTTGAATGCAATCCTCCAATTCACACCTTCCACTGTCTCAGATGTCAGGGAGAAATGTTGTGTTTTCCTTAATGGAAAACTGATTCCTGGATTATTTCTTCACTTCCATATGAAACAGAGCACGGCTACAGGGAGAGATGGGAGGCTTTGTGTCTACAGTGAATGACAAAAAAGCCGTATAGGCGCCTACTTTCTTTCCCCACATTCACTGCTAASTCTTGCAAGATTTCTTGCCCCAGTACCATGAGTCACACACTGCTCCTAAACAGCATCAGCTCCTGCTGCTGCAGGCAAAAAGAAAAAAAATTTGATTACACTGATTTACTCTTGCTCATTTTCTCTGATGTTGTAATTATTATAGCCCGTATGGATCTCTGCTAATCATGTCCGTTTGGTCTTACGCATCTGGGCGTGCTCTAGGGTTTGCAATATGGACAACTCTGGATTAAATATCTGTTAATAAATTACCCTGGGGTTGGTGACAAAACTGTCTCTTCCCTACACTCCTGTGACAAAACAATCACATTCTCAGGCAAAGCAGGTGAGCCAGTTCCCTCAAAACCACAGGCAACAGGCAAGAAAGGACTGCAGGGTGGCCTAGTGCATTGCACTGCTCCAAAGCAGACCACATTCCCAACATGTGCGGGACAGCCTGTTCCCAGACCTCTAGATSCTAGTGCAGTGGTGCCCAGAACTGGACACGTCACTCCAACCTCGACACTGCTACCACTGTCCAGAGCAGACACGTCACCCGCACGCACTGTACTGGCATGACCTGTGCGTGATCAGATCCTTATCCRCACTCAGATCCCTCAGCACAGGATGCAGTCCCACAAGTTTCATTCGGAATCCTTGCACAGAAGCTAGAARTAAGAACTGTGCATTTATAAATCATTTTTAAATCTGAGATAGAGGCATGTGATTTTTATTTCTTGCCCTGAGAGGTACCATTAATTTTAATATGCCATTTTCCAATAAGGATTTGTATGAAACTTCGAACAAGTAGGCTGAACTCAATGTATTACTAAATTACTTTTGAGTAGTATTCTTGGTGCCACTCATTCTTTGGATTCATAAATGAAAAAAAATCAGTCCAAACAGACTTGATATTGAATGCTTCTATATTCATTTCCTTGCAAAGCAATAAAACCCCACTTTGTACTCTTTCAGGTACTTTAATAAGTACAAAGCAACTGCCACCGTTACACAGTTAAATGCAGTTTATCGCCTTAGTTCAAGGGAAAAAGCAAAGAAGGGAAAGAAAAGTGAAATATAAACATATTAGAGAATTACCTATTTGGAAGAACTAGTAACTAGGAAAAAAAAACATTGCTCTTTTTTTTTTTCACTGAGTTCACCCACAGTTTCTTTCACGGGGTGATGTCAGGCAATCACCTTGTCATCGACCAACCATTATGGCCATGCAGAAGGGCAACAACAGCAAGGCAGCTTTTGAGCTCCATGTTCTGAGCTAATGGTTTGCTGCAAACTGATGTGCAGTAAAAACTCAAGGTTCCCCACCTTCCATTTGAGCAAACTGGCTAAGCTCAAAAGGTGAGGCCTTAGTCTGAAGGCAACTGAAGGCTGCCTGAAATTCTGAAGGGAAAAAATTGAAATTCTACAGGCAAAAAGTGGAAGGCAGATATCTGTCTGAGTATCATCCTGTCTTCTGCAGCAGACTTGGTAACAACCTGACCAAAAGCGCTTGTATTTGAACACTAGCTAAGACCTCACCCAGTGTTGCTCAAGCAGTGGTTACGGTGCTGTGCTGATGCAGCCCTCTCCATCTTCAAGCTGCTGAAAAAAATGGCATGCAGTGGAAGCATTTTGCAGTTTGTAGAGCATGCAAACTCTTCCGCATAACAAGAAAATATGAATAAAGGGAATAACTTTACTTGGGAAAAAAAAAGACACAATAGCAAGCACACACTGTATTTCATGTCAGGCACTGAGCAGAAAAGGAGCAGTGTGCATCGCTGCTTGTCTTACAGGGCAAGACATGAATATATTCTAACATCAGTTCAATATCCACGTAGATTTACTTGAAGGGGCAGGTTCTGTTTTTTCTTTTCTCTTCTCCATAGAATCACTATGGTTAGACAAGACCTTCAAGATCGAGTCCAACCGCAAACCTATCCCCACCACAGCTGCTGAACCACGTCCCTAAGCTTATCTATTATAAGCTCCCTCATCTACACGCTTCTTGAACACTGCCGGGGACAGTGACTCCACCTCTTCCCTGGGCAGCCTGTTCCAGCACTTCACCACTCTTTCCATGTAGAAGGTTTCCTAATATCTAACCTGAACCTCTTCTGGTGTAACTTGAGGCCGTTTAGTCTTGTTCTATCCATTGTTATTCTAAAGAAGAGACCGATCCCACCCTCACTACAACCTCCTCTCACGTAGCCGTAGAGAGCGATAAGCTCTCCCCAGAGCCTCCTCTTCTCCAGACTRAACAACCCCAGCCGCGCCTCATACGGGCTGAGCACAGGCTCCAGGCCCTTCACCAGCCTCGCTGCCTTCTTTGGACTCACCCCAGCACCTCCATGTCCTTCCTGTGGTGAGGGGACAAAACTGAACACAGGATTCCAGGTGTGGCCTCACCGGTGCTGAGTAAAAGGGGACAATCACTTCCCTGCTCCTGCTGGCTACACTGTTCCTGACACAAGCCAGGAGGCTGTTGGCCTTCCTGGCCACACCGCTGGCTCCTGTTCAGCTGCCTGTCGACCAGCACCCCAGCTCCTTTTCTGCCCCRCAGCTCTCCAACCACCCTGCCCTGAGCCTGCAGTGCTGCATGGGGTTGTTGTGACCAAAGCGTAGGATACAGCACTTGGCTTTTTGCCCAGTTGCACCTAAGAATAAATAGGAATACATTTATAGCAAATGTAAGAAATCCAGGTTCAGATCCCTATTCTCCCTACAGAGACCAGAACTTACATATTCCATCTCTTACTGCCTAAACTGTCCAGTTACTGGGTATTCTTCCTGATGAGAAAGGTCTATTTAAAATATTTTAACATTTCTAGGAGCAAGAACTGAACTTTAAGTGCCTCTTGCCTGACACATAAGTGCCCTAAAAAGCTTTACTCACCCTCATGCCCTCATGAATATTTAGAGCTATTTATGAAGAGGAGCAGCTTAACCTGAAGATATCACTGTGACCGAGTAGAAGAGGACACCACTCCCAGGGCATAAGGTAAGCAYGCTGTTGCCTATTCTGAAAACTAGTAGCTTAAGATAGTTCAAGCAGATATTTAAGAATCCCATCTTGCCCAAAGAAGATTAGTAGTTTTGTTGAAACAAAACATGCAAAATCCATGAGTCAAGAAGGAAGACACGCTATGTACAAGTTAGCTATCCTCTTGTGTGACACACACACCTTCCTTTGAGAAAGGCAGATTTAGGGCAGAAGTGACATTACTTAGGAAAAAAAGTACTTCCAGCACAGCACAAGAGAATGATTTTCCATGGCCTTACAGACAATCACCTCCGCCACTATGTGGCCATCCTTCACAGGAGTGCATGAGACCACTGGCAACGCTGGCTTTTAGAGCAAATGCAATCTTCACTCATGCTTTATAGCAACGAAAATTGTACGTGACTGAAATTTTGCTTAAGTTTTACCACAGTCCCAGCAATGCAACTACTATTTTATTTCCCATTTGCTCTGTAATCTCCTCAGTAGCTTAAGGAAGATCGAAATCAACTGGGTAACAGTGTAACTGGCCCTTTTATCTGTGGCTTGCACAGATATCAGGTTTTAAAGCCACTAAAATGATCGTGACAGCTTAATTTTAAGATATTTCCCTAGCAGTGAGACAAATTCACAAGGATCCAATAGAAAGTAAACCACACCATATTAGATTTCTACCTGCACTAGGTCTGTAGGGCAGAAGGGAGCAGGGGAGAAAAAAAAAAAAAAGCTTCAAGTATGGCAAAAATGGTCTAGCTCCCCAAGGAAGTTGCAGAGACAGATAAACACTTTTTTTTTTTTTATTGTATATTTATTGATCCTTTTTTTTAATCCGAGTTCACAATTGGCAGAGCTGTACAGTCCGAGTTCAGCAGTAAGAGACCTGGCAGCTCACCATGACACTGCTGTACAGTGCATTAACCCCTGTAAAATCTAAGGGGCTCCAGTGTGCCCTTCTGAAGCCTCTCCTTGTAACATTGTCTTTTGCCTAAAAGCTTGGAGGCCTTCCCCAATGCACCTGGAGGACATTGAGGGTACGTCTGGGCCCTTGTCTGTGGTCTGGTCCTGTTCTCCCAGTCCTGCAAGGCACGAGACGTTGCTGTGTCACAGTTCCTGAGGGAAGCGACTGCCTCTGGTACGAGAGCCCCTTCTCACTCTCTCCTACAGTCTCTTTCGTAGCTTCTACACAAGAGGAAGAACAAGATCTGGTGAAAAACATGGCAGGTAACAGTCGCTCAAGCAGGTGACAAGCATGTTCCAGTGACACCCCTGCACCAAGCTTACCAAGTGACTGTGTCTGAAACATCGACTCAAAGTTTCTTCCAGTCAGCACTGTTGGTACCATAAGCAGGAGCAACCACGAGGTTCCTACCAAAACTATATATTTACCATGGGAAAGTATTATGGGGCACCACCTTCTACACTCGCGAGGACAGCCAGGAGAGAACACTCATCCAGGGAGCCCTGTGTGATGATTCTCTTCTTCCYGGTTGGTCACTAGAGAGTGTTTTTCTTTAAGTTCCCCCTGCCTTGCCCTCCCTCCTACCCTGCTTGCCCTTTTTCTATTTTTTTGGTTAAAAAAAAATAAAAGTATAACACGCTCACTGTTAAAGCTGATACTTGTCATCAGCTACAGACTTCATAAAAAAAACGTGCACGAGTGTCTCATCATCCTTTGTACAACAACTCTGTTTGAAAATACAACTTTATATTAAAAACATATAAAAAACAACATCAAATCTTGTGCAGAKGCCAGTAGATTTATCAACCATGTCATATTTTAAGTTTTATATTACTACAATGACTTAAAAAAACCCACAAGGACTCAGAAGCAGAAAGTGATTTTCTATAACAGCTTCCTTCTGCAACAATACATTAAAATAGTCCTAAAATTTACACCATTATCTACAAAATGTCACAGTAGTAGTAAGCTTTGATTCTATGCTAAATAAAAAAAAAAAAACATCTGTTTCAAAGATTATAAAAAAATCCAAAAGCACAACATTATTTTAAGACTTCCACTAACCAAATGGACACTGGTCTTTTGATTCAGGTAAAAAAAAAATACAAAAGCCATAGTCATCTGATTTGCAGAACCCAGAAATGAATAATGAGCAAATAATGAATATTCCTGTTTTTAAAAAACTTTTTAGCAATACATAACACACTGGTGTTATACTTTACATAGAAAATATCTTTTAAAATAGCATATGGCTTATATAGAGTCCTTGCTAACTGGTCCTCACCCAGTCCAGAGCTGGATGTATTCATTCTTTACTTTTGGTAAAGTCATATGGTTTCCACCACTGTGCAAACTGCAACACTTTCTTCCTCTGATCCTCAAAGTTCTGCCTGATTCCTTTTCTCCAGAGCCGTGGTTCCAAGTCCAGCATGCCACCAATGACTTCCTGTGCAGGCAGAACAAAAATAAATGATAAATACCAAATTACTGTATTATTTAATGCTATTTTTTCCTTAAAAGTATAGGAATATATACTTTCRAATTGGGATTGTTTTCTTACAGTCTCTGTTTTAAATGATAGTCATTAGTAGTCATTAATAGTGAAATAGTCATTAATATTCACAGAATCACAGAATCACAGAATATTTAAGGTTGGAAGGGACCTCTAGAGATCATCTAGTCCAACCTTCCTGCTCAAGCAGGCACACCTACAGCATGTGGCACAGGGTGGCATCCAGGTGGGTTTTGAAGACCTCCAGAGTAGGAGACTCCACAACCYCCCTGGGCAGCCTGTTCCAGGGCTCTGTCACCCTAACAGTAAAGAAGATCCTCCTCACCTGGAGACGGAACTTCTTGTGCTCCAGCTTGTGGCCATTRCCCCTCGTCCTATCGCTGGCCACCAGTGAAAACAGCYTGTCCCCTTCCTCCCTGCATTCTCCCTTCCTGAACTTATACATATTAATCATATCCCCTCTGAGCCTTCTCTTCTCCAGAGAGAAAACAGGCCCAGCTCACTCAGCCTCTCTTCATACGAGAGATGTTCCATTCCCTTAATCATCCTGGTTGCCCTTCTCTGGACCCTCTYGAGAAGCTCCACGTCCCTCTTATACTGGGGAGCCCAGAACTGCACACAGTAAATATTGAAAGTTTTAAAAAACAAAGTAAAAATGAGAACTACAGAAAGAAAATATCTTGCTAGAAACATGATTACACAAAATTTTAAGTACCGAATCCTTCCCATCATTTTTTCAATATTGACTTTTTAAATAAGTTATTACCATGCCATAATAAAGAAATTGGGATTTTATTGCAGCTCATCCTTTCCATAGGCATCTAATGCAGTGGACTGCAATATACCATACATATGCCTATGTATGGCACAGATTTTATGCCATACATAAGCATAGAATACAGTGATTTAACCAAGTTTACATTGCACTGGGAGTTGTTTGGGAGTCTGCATCTGTGTTCATCCTAATATACACAATCAGGAGTAAATATACCTATAAGAAGATGTATGAGTAGGCTGTGTTTGCTAACATTTAGATTCCTATAGACACAGGAATCTTGAGAATAAGCAACTGTTCCCTTATTCACAGGTTTAGTTAAATTGACTCATTAAGAAAAGTCATCAGATACACTGTGATAAGGTACAAAGCGACTTCACTCTRGCAGCACTTGTGTTAACTACTTATATTTTACAAAACAGAGAATAACTGGTAAATTGATCTTTCACACCACARTACCTTTCCAAAATAATGAGGGAACTTGTGTTGATCTTCAATGATATGAGCAAATCCTCCTTGAAGGCCAAAGTCCACTGAAAAGTATGGCAATCCTTTAGGAACCTATGCACACACAAGAAAGTGTTTTTAGGCATTTGTCAGACTGTAGATACTCAAATAACTTCCCCACAATTTACTGAATTTGAAAGTGGCTTTACAGGTGACAGCGTTGCACTTTCTTTTAAAGCACCTCTCACACCAAGAGGGTGCATGATAGCAACTGCAGCAACACAGCTGCAGTTAAGACAGAAATGCTGAGGGACACTTGACTCTCTGCTTCAGGGAAAGTATGGACAGAACTGCTTAAACCCAAACTAAACCCCAAAGGGATACTGCACTGCCTATTTACGGTGTATTTTGGATAGGAATACATTCTTAATTATGAAGATTTTCACCTCCACTATTCATGACATTCAGAAAAAAAAAGATTCTCTATCAAAACTGTATTTAAAGATAATTTGTTCAGATTCGTAAAAGATCTGACAAGAAATCTACACTGCATGTAACTTTTACCTGTGCCTCCTCTCTTACATTAAAATAAAAAACAAAACAAACAAACAAACAAAAGAAACATCTCAGGAACTCCTGGGAACACTAAACCCGCTCCAGCAAGGATGCCAAAATCCCAAGTCAGCATTTTATCTGCTTTCATACAAAGTTTCACTGGACTTCAACGTTTTCCAAGGAAAAGTAATTCAAATTACATAATGCAGCCTAAGTGTTCATTTTAACATTCCACAGCTTAAGACAGGAGTGTACATTTTACATCTTGCCCCCATTTTCCCTAAATCATCTTTTATAGCCTGCTCAAGAGCATACACAAATCCCGGTTCTCTGCATTCTTGCAGCTTGCTTTGGCTAAAATAACCACATGGCTTCTTAGCACATTTCACTTGAGTTGTCAATAATAAAGCACCAAAATGTTTCCACTGTTCGCTGATTTATGGATTTTTGTCTTGAGTTCTACAAAACAGACTGGACAACCCCAGGCCCACTAAATCCCAACAGGAATTTAGCCACTGGCTCTAGTAGTGCCAGAACTTCACTTAAGTGCAGAGCTTGCTTTGCCCTGGGATCAGCTGCACATGGCACACAAAAATAGACCCAGGTTGACCAAATCAGATGAGAAAAATAAACAGACTGCCCAGCAGACCATCTGCACAAACACTGGCAGGGTGAAGTTAAAATACCACTGTAGAATCCTTCTTATATTGTACACAGTCAAAACCAATTTTCTAAAGCACCATATCTCCAAGACAACACATGATGTCAAAAAGATAAAAAAACAGCCCAGGAGTGGAAAACGAACACCTCCCCCCAAAAACTAAACCCATCAATTGCAGGAGATCTTCTTGCAGRAAGACATTTCACAAAGATCACTAGTCAGAAGCCTCCATCACAAACTATGTAGAAGGAACTTCCCTTCTACAATACACAATGTTCAATGGTCTGTTTGAAGTGTATTTTCAAGAGATATCTTATGCTACCCCAGCAACTTTGGGGCAACTTTGCAAAACATTTCACTAAAAATGTGGATAAGTCCATCATCCAGGCCATTAATCAAGATAATCAACAGTACTGACCCCCATATCAAGGCCTGGAGGCCACCACAAGTGACTGGCCTCCAGCCACACTTCACACCACCGATTACAACCCTCTGAGCCTGGTCATTTAGACAGTCTTCAGTCTAACTCTCTGCTCACTTCTCCAGCCTTCACTGGCTTGTCTAAACAATGTCAAAAGACCTACTGACGTCAAGCCAACATCCACCCCTCTCCCCTCACCCACTAAGCCAGCAGTCTCAATCTCAGAATGTTTTCAGGTTGGTTAGGCATGATTTCCCCTCCGAAATCCATGCTGACCGTTCATGATCATCCTGCTGTCCTTTGTATGCCTGCAAATAGTATCCAGGATCAGTTCTCTACCTTCCTCTTCCCACAGATCAGGGGACAAAACACACACAAATCACAATAACTTTCAACTAAAGGAAAGGCAAAATAGACTCTGGGATGCATTCATGCAGTTAAGAACAGTAAAGCTAACAAGAGAAGTGAAGTAACCTCTCGAACAAAAACAGATACAAACTCAAAATGATAAGAAGTGAGGACAGAAATGGAAATTACATCAAAATAACACAACTGTATAAAAATTTACACTTAAATACACTTCATTAACCTGAAGTGGTATCTTGACTTAATCTGAAAATTGGCTTGCCTTCAAACAGGTATATAATACAATCACAGAAATGTACAACTCCGAAGAATCTTAAAGAAACCAAATACTCTGATGCTCTGGCTTGACCAATTATACTTCATTCATCCGTGACCACTGTTGTTTTTCTCTGTTCTGAAACATCAATGAGCAGAAGAAATCCAAAATACACCCAGGCTATTTTGTGCTTACACACACCTTAAAGTTCAAAGTCTTCGCACTAAGACCTTGCTGCAAATTAAAGGAACCCTTTCTCGTCTGCACCTAGCAAAGAACTGAGAGGTATCTTTTTTAAAGCAATCTTTTAAATATGAAAATCAACATCCCATCCCTTTTCATTTTTTTCCTTCCTAGGCTGCACAAACCCTAAACCAATTAGTAATCTGTGTTTCCTCCTTGGTACCTGTGCAGTGTCCACAAAAATGGAACTGAAACATTCCAGCTGAGGACTCACTAATATGAACAGGGTGGCCTATAACTGACTCCCACTGCATTTATTTGACCTTCCTGCTTATATGGCAGAACAGCTTGTCTTTTTTATTACAGCACCATTGCTCATTTAGTTTGACTCATCACAATATATCAAACCTTTCCTACTATCCAGTCACCAACCCTGTTATTCCTTTACATTTATTTTCTCCCTCTTTGCAATATCGTTATTATTAAAATGCATTTTTCCTCTCTCTCCCCTATATGAGTATTTTTATTGCAAATATAGCTGTTAAAAGACATTTTCAAAAATTAAGTACTACCTAGTAGTAAATTACACATGACTTAAAGTCTATACATTATATATTTTACTTGAACATTAGAATGATGGAACAATCTTTAAGCCTTACAATCCCAGCATTGTTCTTTTAACAGCTCTGTATACAAAGATGTTTCAGTTTAGTATCCAGGAGACAGAGTACTGCTTTAGAAAAATAATTACATTATTCCTATCTTCTCTTCATATCTTCTCTTCACAATCTAAGCCACACAGAAGACTATTCTAGGTCAATGCAGATGTTACATGATACTTTTTCAGCAAAGTAATTTACAAACCTTTGATCTATCTTAATTCTTAAAATTAATCAAGAAAATTATGTTGGTATATGTCCTCAAAATGCCAGCTTTGTTCTCAACCAATGCTTGCAGCTCAGCCCATCTGTTGTTGAAATAAATGGGAACCTTTTCACTGATGTCTATTAGGAGCTCACTCAGACTCTTAATTCTCATCATGTCTATGCCATCTCCTGCTCTGTTAATCTAATTGTGTTCCCTTTCTTCTCTCTTTGAAACAGTTAATAACTAGGATGAGAGTAATTTGCAGAGAAATTCAGTGTTCAATATACATTTGATTACTTACAGATTTCCGAACATCTTTTGAAGAAAGATCAATTAACTTCTTGTTCATGGACCACTCTTCATCAGATTCCATTATAGCTTTCTGTAAAATAATTTTATTTAAATGTAAAAACAGTGCTTCACACAGCAAGTAAAGAGTGAACTTTTTGATGTAATGAAGTGAACTATAAGAAATACTTTGCACTGCAAATACCAATTAATTCTTATTTCCAGAATTTACCTACATTATAGAAATATTGTAATAAAAACTTACTTAATTCTGTTTTTCTTTTCTGAAATTTAACTTTACCCTGACACGAATTATCTCTAATGAGAAACTTTCAAATTAACAGAGACCAAAAAGTCACATTTTCTTTTTCATAAGGTCACACAGAAGCCCTTATTAATTCATTGCACTATATTAGCTCCTTGCCTTTTTTTTTTTTAAACCAAGATGAAAATCCATCTAATAAAGCTGATTATGCTCAAAGATTTCTCAAGTTATCTCTATATCCTCCATAATATGCAAGTGGGTACAAGTGAGATACAGTGCAGGAACCCTTCAAATCTCATTTGCTGTGTACTTGAACAGTGGAAGTTTTTGAATGAAAGTTTATCCAAATTGCATTATATTAAATTTTGAATGTCATCTTTCTTTTATAGAAAACATAAGATTTACTAGCCCTTGAAGCACAGTCAACAGTGGATTAAATCAACTGATTTGACAGTTTCAAATGTGATAAAACTTACTGCATTGCTGTTCATCAGACTCAAACCAACTGTTCCACTTAATCGAAAACAAATCAAAATGATTTATTTCCAGAAAGCAAAAATGAGCTTAAGGTACAAACAAAAGGAGTTAATTACAAATATCAGTATATGTATGCACACTCAAATTTGCCATACAAAAGTTTCTCCATTTCATTCTAACGTCACTAAAAAGCAAATCAGGATCCAATCACGACCCAATCTCTGAGAAGTTTAATGGCAGCATGGACTTTTTGCAGTTTCTCAGTTTTTGTACAGAGGAATCAATGAGCCTTTCCTAATAGGGTCAGTGGAATGAGAATAGAAAAGTTATTGAGAAGAGATCTATCACACTGGTTAGTGTTAGTCAGAGACCCAAGTCACAAGCAGAGTTCGGGCACACTGAGCCATTTGGCAATGAGGCAGAGCAGCTCAGCTGGAACACCGGGGCAAGAAATAAAGCAGCAATATTGGGGTAACACCTGCCCAGCACCATAGGAGTTGTGTGTTGGTGTGACTATATTGAGGCAAAGAGCATTTTTTCAACATAACCTATTGGTCGTATTTGTTAGAACAGCTGACACTATTTCCTAACTGCATGTTTGCTAAAGCCCATACAGGGTTTTAAGGTAATACTGAAGGACCTAAGTAAGAAGTGACTAAGTGAGAGCCATGCAGCTTAGGGTATTTCTCAATGCAGTCGGACTTGAGAGCTGTACAGTAACATACAGCCTTTCCACAGATAACTTCAAAAAGCAGAATAACTTCATTACAGGGTCTGTTTTAAAATTAATGAAATATTTCTTCTGAAGAAAATTTTTTTTTCCAAAAATATTACCTGAATATTAAAAATCTTTCTAGAAAAAGATGGATCACAATAAAGGCAAATGTCAAGATAAAACATTTTCCTATACCTTAAAATAGATTGGAGCCATATCTCCTACTTCTCTGGGAAGAGGAATGCATTCATACACCATGTGATACCGTTTCTTCATACTCATGTTTGTTTCTAGGAAGACACAGTCCAGTTCCATAGCTTCAAACATCTTCACTAAAGCCTTTCTGAACATCTGCTCGAAGAAAATATATATATGATTTTAATTAACTTCTGAAAGTTTTCAGATTTGTTTTATAATATAAAATTCACAACATTCACACCAGAAACATTCTACATTACATAAGTTCAGTGTGAATAACATTTTCTCCCAGTATAAACATAGGAAGTCTACAGAACTCCCATGAAAGACACAATACAGTTTACTGTACAAATTCATTTTGAATAAATACCAAATCTTTTCTACAACTCAAATGAAAATCTTCTTAACTGTAATGTTCCATTAAACTACACGGCTTTAGCAGTACGTCACAAGCTTACACTTTCTGAGATGTTATTGTCTGGGCTTGTATTGACACCAAATACCATTATCCTTTCCTCTGTTCCTTCCAATTACACGATTTATCAAAAATGACATTTTCATCCTGCATGCTTGACCTTTAAGGCAGGTATTAATGCTGCCTTAAAGAAAGTCATAGCTGTAAGTATCATCTCTACACAGAAGCGAACAAAATGCAGTACTGCAAAGCATCTAGTCTAAGCATACGGTTAAAAGTTCCCCTTTATGGGATAGTGGCATTGCAATTAAAATATATTTCAGTTCATATATTTCAGTTCAACTCTTTATAAAGGCGGGAAATTGTGCCCTATGTTCTAAATAAGCCATCACCTATCTCAGAAAGAATGAAATAGTCCTAATAGTCCTCTACTTTTTCATGACATGTTATCCAAATTCAGATTAGGAGAAAAAAAAAATTCAGTGCTGTAGAGGAGTTTTGCATTGCTCGTAGACAACTTTATGTAGCCCTTATAATGGGAAATGTTTTGATGTTTACCCAGTATCTCCTCTCCTTTTTTTTTTTTTTTTTCCCCTTCAATTTTTTACTACTAGTTTTCATCCATCATGTGAGATATGTTCTATCCCATAGTGGAATCACAGAAGAGGTGAAAATTATTTATGACAAGGATAGTTTCAAAAGCGTATAAATATTTTTTTAAAATTTGTTTAGCACATGAGCCTGTTTCTCAGCTGTGGGAAATGTTCTGCTGACCTGGATTTCTTCCCAGATGTCTTCATCCAGCAGAGTGGCTGCCGTATGGTGCTGTAGAGGGGCTATCAGGCAGTGGCCTTCAGTGAGGGACTGACCGCTTGGCAGAGACAAGTAAACCTGCAGAAAGGAGACACAAAATGATTGCCCATTTTTCTAGAGTTAGCCTTACCAATGGAAAGGTTTCCAAGAAATATATTACTCTGGTTACATTCAAACTAAAGCCTTCATCCTCTAATTAGAGCAAGCTAATAGGAATCTTACAATTTAAAAATAAGACTTTTAAACTATTTAATTTTCTTTCCGTTCTTTGCCTAGACACGTTAATTGCTAGAGAACTTCATTAGAAATGTAAGACCCTAAACAGAGCAACTACTAAAACACATCCAATAAAATCCCTGAGCAATCTTAGCTCCAAAGGTAGCAATGAGCATGGAAAAATCCCAAGCATTCTGGGTGGACATTTGGCATTATGCATCAGTAACTGCAATGTAGTAGTAGCATCCACACAGCAGATCCACTGACAAGGCAGCAGCAAAGCTTTTAGACCAACCAGTAACCTAACCATTACAAAAAAAAAAAAAAAAATTACTGTTTAGTCCATTACAACAAGCTTGCATTAAAATACACTTAAAGTTAGGTATTTAATTCCTTGGCTTATAAAATGTTTTTAAATCAAGTGAGAAATATCAAAAATGAATGACAACACCAGAGAAAAAATAATAAAAATGTCTGTATTAAAGCATTTCAGATGTTATGAATCCAAATATGTATGTACATATGTTTTCAAAAGTACCAACAGAAACAAGCAGGTTGCCTGTACAAAACACTGCCCTTCTAAAGAGCTTCAGGCTTAAAAACAGAATTCTCTACTTAAGTTTCTTCGGTATCACTGAGGCACATTTCTCAACCAGTTTAAACTTCCTCCTGTGCCGTGTGATTTAGTTTTCCACAAATCCACCCACACACTAATCCCTGCACTCAGGTGTTTCATCACTGCTTCTCTGCCTTCCACAAGGCAGAGGTTGAACTTTATTGTTCATTACAGACTCGCACTTTTTCTCTCTCTTGCCCTTAAGGAGCTGCTGAAATTAACTGACTGCATCCTATTTACCTTACACTTGCCATAAATCATTTGAAATAAATGATTCTATTCATAATTTTGGGTACTTCAGTTTGAACACTGCCTTCCTTGATTTCTTTTTATTTTTACTTCTGTGCTGAATTGCCATTTTCTTACCTTGGTGCCAAGTGCAATAATAAGATGTTTAGAAAGCTCATTGCTATGAAAACAATAGGGACACTTTTCCATGGCTGCAGCAAGCTGCTGGTGCTCGTGAATTGCTCTCCTCCTTTGCCTTTCTTCCTCTTCCCCACTACGCTCTCCTTTCGCTGCTTTGGAAACAAACATGTCATCCAAGGTGTAATACTCTCTGTCAGTTTTTTCCATAAGCTGAAAAGATACACAGTAAAATTGCACATTACATATATATAAATATAGGCATGAAGAATTACTAAGGTCTTTCTGATATCCTTCCCTGATTGAAGTGTAAAGAATGGTTGCAGTACCCTTCCTTGCCACGAGCCATCTGCAAGATGGGTAATTACGAGGTACAAATCTTGACAGCAGTTATCAAAAATCTTAGCACAGGTATTAAACGTATAGATGTGTGACAGTAGTGAGCAGAGTATATTATTACATTCCAGTAAGTAAGGTTCCTTCCAGGACTGTGAATTTCAACACTAGCCTAAGCATCAAATAGATGCATTTTTTTTTTAACGCTGATTAAGAAAATAGTCTCATTAACAGTTTATATATTTTATTTTTTCTCCCCCTCCTCCTTTCTTACTATGACTATCAGTGTCCATAAAAATCATCTGCTGTGAAAACTAGACCGTGACTCTGCACCCCATGTTCATATTCTGCAAACACATGCCTGCAACTGTACACTCCAAACCAATAGCACTAAGTTCATCTGGGGCAAAAATATAGTCATTTTCAATATTTATTCTTCCCTAGATAATGAGCCCAACTATTAAGGTACAAAGTCATACCACATACATTTGTGTACACACAGTCAGCTAGTGGGGAAGGTTGGTTACAGGAACCAACACACACCGGGTATTTCTCACCTAGACAGCCTGGTGTCCATAGGCAAGAACTAGAGACACTAAAGGTGATAGGAGGTCATAAGGGAGGTGATAAGAAGGTGAAATGATGGCAACTGCAGAGAGAAAGAGTGATCGGAGAGAAAGAAGGGTAAAATATATAGGTGATGGGATGAAGGGAAAAACAAACAAATAAAAAAATCGGCTTCACCAAATGCAGGTTCTTGTTTGTTTGTTTGGTACAGCATTAGGCTCTCAATCTTTCCTGATGATAATGGAACCTAAAAGTCATCTTGCTTAAATCATGCCTATATCAGGACTTAGCAGGTGATATCACTTCATGATATCATTCGTGAAACATCACCCCAGATACTTCAGCTCAAGCTGGCATTCTGCCCACAAAGACAACAATGTCGTATTTCCTCCCAGAATGAACACTTTTGTAACTTATTCTTATATTTAGTACTCTGAAATGAAATATTAGCACCCAAGTATAAAAATAAATTCATTTCCTAGTTAATTTGCTAAATATCCCCTTCCTCTCTGACTACACAGGGCTCCTAAATCTAAAAATAATAAGAATAGTAGAAAAATAATCAGTTTTAATGTCAACGGTGTCAAGACAGAATTATTACTTGCTGAAATCTGATCAAAGAGGTTTCTTTTCCAAGATGGAAATTCTCTGCTATTTCGCTAAGAAGTGTATTTATATGCACGACATCACAGCACAGGACTGTTTCATTCACTTTCCCTGTGAATTCAAAGTATATATATGCTTTGGAATGGTCTCCCTTCCTGACATGTTCAGAGCTAGCCATTCAGATAACAGTTGCATTAAATACAACTGTGATCTGTTGTTATTGAAACTAAGTCTTCAAATAGAAAACTTCTCAGTATCCCAGGAACAGGATAGATTGTTTAGATAGTAAGATTAAAAAAAAAAGACTTCTTTCTGCAGGGTAGATAAGCAACTTTCTCCCAGAAATAACAGTTCTTATTTTTCCCAAATACTGCAATACTCTAACAAGGACCAACAGCTTCTTAGCAATATGCTCTCTAGATCTCTCTAGATGACTTTACTAAATACTAAAACAGTATTAAGATGGGATATATCTTTACTTCTGAAAACAATCGCCAACAAGAAAGATCAAAAATTTCTTTGCAGCTCCGCTTTGATTCCAGTATCCTGGCTGCAGGCCTCAAAATAGTTTAGTAAGCGCAAAATTTTAGAAATAGATAAAAATATCATCCAACAAAAAACATCTACGCTACTAAAATTAAGTGTAAAAACTGGGAAATTCATTCACCAATATTTTTGCAGTCTTTTATAAAAAAACAGAGTCTGTGATACTGGAAGACTAGCAGTGAACATCATTAACACATTCTTTGCCAGCAGCAGTGAAAATATTCTTATTAAGAGCATAATTTCTTAAATATAATTTTCCATTAAACATCACAAATGCCACAAAGCAATGGGTTAGCACAGAAATACATTAAACCACAGCTGCTAGCAGTTCAGGCAGTATTTTTCATTTACTAATGTTCTAAATATTGGCTTTTTGATAACTCCTTCTGGAAGAAAAAGGGAATTCCTTTTCCAAATATTTATATTCTTGCTTTTCCACAATAAGGAGTTTGCTGTGTTATGCCAACTGCATTATGTGGCTGTAACAAAGTTCCTCCAAACAAGTTACATGCTAATTGAAAGAACAACARTAAAGTGTCTGCCAAAATGCCAGAAGGGAAGCAAGTAATCATTTAAAATGATTTATTTCACTCAGAAAACAGTTAGAACTAGAACAGGTCTAAAAGAAAAAAAAATTGCTCCCTATATAAAGAGTTGCTGTAATGTTGCTATACAGCATCAGGTCAAGCATCGCACCTGCTGACTGGGAAAGCTGAGGCACTGCTGAAGGTGGGAACTCTGCTCTCTCCCTGCTGCTTCATTCTGCACCCACGCTCCAGGTGCTGCACAGGGACACAGGCAGGCAGGCACTTTAATTCTCAATCTTATATTAGGATGTACTAAAAAAGGTCACCTGGACTTAGGTAATAACGCTACCTGAATTTTCCTGTATTAACAAAGTTAATATAAGAAATTCAAACATCTGTAAAAATCATGTAAAAATCCCAGACAGTGAGCAAAAAGAGCTGACCTAAACTGACTCCCTTCAAGATGCATCATCCTCACAGTCTCTGTCTTCTCTTTCCCACTTCATTTTTTTGGCCTGAGTTTATATGCCGTGTTCATTCTTCACCTACACCATSTGTTTTCCAACTTGTCCTCCTCTCTTTGCACTCATGGATTTACCAGCAAGCGCAGAGGCAGCCCCAGTACTCTGGGCACCCAGGGAAATGATGTAGCCTCCTACTCCCTGTGGCATGACTGGGCAACCATGAACTTTCTCCCACGCATCTAACGGGGGATCTAATTTCCATAATCCACAAAAATTTGACTTAACCGACGGGCACAGCAGCACAGTTTTGCTTCCCCTTGCCAAAAGGGACACTCACGGTCACTTAAACAATGGTCAGAGGAGCATCCAAAGGGMTCAGGAACACAAAGGGTTCTTTGGACTTTCATTAGGACAGCTCTGATACAWGATAAATGTGGCAGAAATTCCTCAGAAAAGGAAGAGAGATCTCCACACATCCAGCACAGGGATTCCAAGACCAGGAATCAGACCTGGCCGCACAAAAGGGAATGAAGAACTATGACATCCCATTTGCTGGTAACATCCCTGGCATGGTGATTAACATGAAAAATATGAACACATTCCATGAGGCATCACATAATACACCATTCATGAATGACTTAATGCAAAAGGGAAGCAAAGCTGCTTTCCTGAGCTGGGGTCTCCAGAGCAGCATCAGTCCCCCAGTGCTCGCAGGGCTGAGGCCCTGCTTCATTCCGCACCTTCCCAAAGCCGCTGCCCTGGGGCTCTCTCCATCCCAGCCCTTTGCCAGGCCCATCCAGGGCAGCCTCATCTGGCTGCGCAGGTCACCACGACTCCATATCACACTTTAATGTTACACCGACCAGGCRGTTTCTATTGACTCGGGAGAGCCCTCCAGCCTCGTGTCTCGCAAAGAAAGCCCCGTTCGAGAATTCCCTGTCACTGCTACACTGGCAGTAAATCTCAAGAGATGACACCCTCCATCCATGGTAGATTATTCTTACATAATGCATCTTTAAGGGACATTTTTTCTTTAAATTCTCTCTGAACATTCAGAGACAAAACAGAAAAACCCATTAAAYGCAATTTAAAAAATACAATGGGAACAAAATGTACCTACATTTTCATATTGTGCTTTTTTCAGGTTTTTTTTTGCACACATATTTTACAAAGTTATTTTATTTATTTTGTATGCAATTATTGAATTTTTGCTTTTCTTATTTTCCTAACACAATTGTATTTAAAGTTACTTCCACACAGCTTAATAAAAGTGCATGTGCTTGGAAAATTTGTGAGAAAAGTCCATAGGTTGTTTAAAACSTATCAGCTCGATTTTGAATTGTCATGGCAACACTGACGTCTTCGATTTTAACTGACAGAGTTAATATTTGTGGAATGTTGCACTCATATTTCGGGAAGCTGCACAAAAAATGAATAAACTATTACTTTAGAATGTAAACCTGGGTGACATACGAGTACATCTCCTCATAGTTAAATTTAGCCAGCATTTAGCACCTATTATTCAAGACAAAAATCACTTCCGCAAATGCTATTTGAGAACAGAAAGACTGTTTTCCAAGGTCAAATTACTAACAAATTTTTATGCTAATGTTATTACTAGTCCAATCTCTGTAAAACCAGAGACTTAGACAGTCGTATGTTAAATTCAACACACAGGTAGCATTTTCCAAACATATCTCGCAGTGAAATCAATAGCACACTAAGCATACCATTACAGTATAAAGGATTTCAACAGCACCAGCACAGAGTGCTATTAAAGCCTGTCAATGTCACTGAGAGGAAAACATTAGAAATAATGTCTGTGAGGAAAGTCGGGCAGGACTAACGTAGGGCAGTGCAGGTCAAGCAAGAAATAACCCACAACACAGTATTGTTCAACAGAGGCATTACAACTCCTTGTTGTTTTAGTTGAACAAAAACTGTATGTTCTGCTATCACTAGTTACTAGGACAGATAAAACATACGCAGAACTAACTTACTTGGAAAGAATGGAAAAAAAACAAGAGCACACAAGAGCTTTCTAAGAGTTTTATCATGTCTATTAAATATTGTGCCACTAGGGCTTCCGCATGTGAGCAAAGAAATAGGTTTATTACATAAGAGTAGCAGCAGCAGCAGTGTTTTCTGGTTTTGTAGTCTAGCTTTT